AAAAAAACAGGTTCAAAATGTGTCAATAGTGCTGGAATTTCTGATGGACTCTGATTTGTTTCATATTAAATACAGTTTGCATGCTTTCAATGGGTCTCTAGGCTGGGATCGGGTAAATGTAAGTGTATTAAACTGATATGCCTTCGTAAAGAGAATTTGCATTGATGACTTGATTGAAATGACACATTTGAAGCAGATTTTTTAGGACACTTTTGGTGTTTTGAGCAACATTGAGTGGATATTTTCTGTTCAGTGGACACGTACCGATACAGTGAGTTTGTTTACCTGTTGCAAGGAAGCGGTGAGCGGCGAGCAGCAGCTGAGGAGAGATCTTGACTTTCGACTCACTCTCATATTTGAAGGCAGAGAAGTCTCGCTTGTTCTTATTGTGTGCCACTTTCTTTCTGGTACGGTTATCAGCTGCAAAGAAATATACAAAAGACTCATTCATAAGAAATTGCAATGTGCAGAACTGGAGCAAAACACAGAGGATTTTACATAAAAGTTTTCATTCCATCAAAATATTCACACTGGTAGTACCATGAAAACTCTAACATCATGAACATGATTTTTTCTCAAAAAAATGCATGTGTCTGTGATTTCGCAAGCAGCGTGTTTGCGTGAAACCATATGTGAAAAGATTTATGATGCAGGACAGCAAGAGGAAGTCAAAAGTGTGCATTCTAGAGAATTTTTTGCTGTACGAGTGCTGTGTGGATTTATTTAAAAGATGACAGCTGTAATGCTGTCTGCATTACAAGACACACAAACAACACAAAAGACACATTCCACTCACTGTAGAGGTCAGACTCGTCCAGGATTTCTGATTTGATGATCTCCTCTATGACATCTTCCAGAGTGACCAATCCCAGCACCTCATAGAACGGATCTCCCTCTCCCTCATTATTAACTTTCTGAACAATTGCCAAGTGTGATTTACCTGCAGGAGAAGATAAAAGAATATTTGTGTTACTCTTTCAGTAAACAGCTGTTAATAATAATAATAACAACAATAATGCAGTCAAATAACATTCCTCAAAGACCTTCAGTATTAAAGGGGCCATATGATGCTTTTTTAAAGATCATTATTTTGT